ATTTTCATAGTGTTTTATGTATTACTATTATGTTGTTATTACCTGGTGAATATGTTCCTGCATCCTGGGTAATACATCTTCAAATTATATCAATTGCTTTATTCTTCTGCACCTACCTTTAGCTAAGATTTTTTCCCCTTATGTCTTTGTCATTTATCTTAGCCTAATGGCCATGTCAAACCAATCAGGCATTGAGTCTTTCATTCATTAGTTACACTTCCATGCACAATCTTGTCAAAGCAAAAACAAGCAGACATTATGAAGCCATTTTCATTTTTTTGCCCTGGGTAATGTCACTGTGACATTTATAGTTGGTTTTCTGCCCTTGAGCTGATCTTATTGACAAAACTATCTAAGTTTCCTTCAGGTTGCCTGTGAAAAAAGAAAAAAAAACCCATCCTCCCCACCCCCTGCCACCCCAAATGTGTATCATCAGTTTGAAAGTAAATTGCTGTTAATTTCTCCCCTTTCTTCTTTTGAGTGATAGTTTCAAATATAGATTTACAGTGATAACTCATTTCTTTGCTTAAATATTCATGTGGTATGTGTAATGCTGCTTGGTCTGTATTGTATTATCTGAATAAACTCACTAGGCTGGGAACTACAAATACACTGATCTTCTTCTATCTGATTTGAGACAATTGAAAATATTTTTTTCTCTCTGTGGGTAGTTATATTTTATTTCATTGTTATGTGAAATCGGGTGAGATACAGTGTGATTTTCCTTGCAGTTTTTCCCCATGAGTATGCTCTGTCCTGATGGTGAGAGTGTTTTTCCCAAAGGAAAGGAATTTGTCCTTTCCCTGCAGGTGTTGACTTGCTTCCACCTCTGTGTATCTCTCCTTCAGGTCTTGCAAAGGGGGCACTTGGCTGCTTCCTCTGCTACTCTGCTTCCTCCCCAGCATGAGGTCAGAGCTGCTGCTAGCAGAGTGGGAGCAGTCAAAGTAGGCCAAGGGGAATGCCTCCCCCTCCCCTCTCCTCTGCACTCATCATGGGAGTTAGGGAGTCTTCTTTCCAGACCTTACAGTCTTACTTGGATCTATTTTTATTTTTCTTTCTTGTTCCCTAAAGGAAACAGAGAGCCAGCACACAATGCTCCAGTGATATCAAATAGCTAAATAGATCACCCTGGAAGCATGAATCATACATCTGCTTCCTTCACAGAAGCCAGATTAGTCAGGACTAGTGTTCTGCAACAAAGGACATTTTCTTTTAATAGTGCTTCAGTGGACTTTCCTTTGTTTCCCATGTAACATTTTTATTTTATTGTTTCATTAAAAAAATTTTTTTAAAGGAATCACTTCAACTCCAATGGGGACCCCCTTTTAAATCTTTTTGAATTAAGGAGACCCTCATTGTTATACAAAATTACATATAAGAGGTTATGAGGGGAATGGGAAAAAAAAACAAGGAGAGAAATGAATTACAGTAGATGGGGTAGAGAGAGAAGATGGGAGGGGAGGGGAGGGGGGATAGTAGAGGATAGGAAAGGTAGTAGAATACAACAGTTACTAATATGGCATTATGTAAAAATGTGGATGTGTAACCGGTGTGATTCTGCAATCTGTATTTGGGGTAAAAATGGGAGTTCATAACCCACTTGAATCTAATGTATGAAATATGATATGTCAAGAGTTTTGTAATGTTTTGAACAACCAATTAAAAAAAAAGAATGTCCTTAATTTTCATGTTCTGATATACTTTTCATTCAGGACTTTTAATTTAAGTGTAAGAGAATGAATTATAACTCTTATAAATCATTGAATAATATATGGAAGAAAGGTTATAGTTTAATTACTGGGAAAGGCAGCCATTTGTAATATTTTAGTTTCCAAGTCAATATGTGATGATGAGACATATTTCAAATAGGAATCATTTTTTACCTCCAGTCAACCTTTAATCTGGTAGCTTCATTTTGGGGATCTCCAGAGACTGAGAATTTTTTTAAAAAAAAGACCTATATTAACCGGTGTAGAGATTCTGACCGTGGAAATGTACAGGGAAGCGTTCCTCAGGTGAGAAAACTCCCAGGGGTTAATAGGCACCCTATTTCCCACCCCTAGAATGGCCTGTAATCTCTCTTAGGATTTAATAATATAGCTAATATATGTGCTATGTCTAGCTGGTATGGCAATGCCCTGAGATGCCTCTTTGTTAGAGCCTCATCAAGCCTCAACCTTGATTGCAGGCACATAGCTCCTGGGAATAGAAGAACTTGTTTACTAGATAACTACGATGTTTCATCAAGCTCTGGTGCTCCTGGAGCTGCTCACGTAACAGTAACTTCAGACAATGGACTTTCTTAAGGACTGCACAATGCTCCTAACATTGCATATTGTAACTGTGAAATGTAACTGCAGAATAAGCAACCTTACTGATACTCTAAACAATAATGTGGTTATGGTCCTAATGACCTAATGCAACCTATTGTTATAAATAAATGTGGCCGCTTGGACAAAGAGCCACTCTGCACCTTCCCTGCCTCTGTACCTTGTCTCTGCCTCCTCTTTATTATTATTCCTTGCAACTATTTCTTTACAAACCCATGCTTTTGTTCTGCTCATGTAGTTTTCTGCTTGTCTAGTGCTGCCCTCTGGTGACCATTTCTTAAATTACATGCCATAGATTTTTGCAGTTTAGCCTAAGGGGGGAAAATGAACCAATAATTTTTAAAGTGTGTGTAATAGAATTGGTTTTGCTTATATTCATTTTTAGCTGTCAAATAGAATTTTCAGACCTGAGCCAATTTCATTCTAGAATATTACTGAATGGAAATATTCAACCTGATTCAGGCATCCAGGCAGGTATCTTTCATACTAAACAGCTGGTTTAGAATGTTTTCCCTGGATTATTAATTTTCTCTGGATAGGCTGAATAGGAAGTGGTAGAGACAAATTTTAGCTCAAGAGTCAAATCTTTTCTATATAACTTCTTCCTTTTTCTTCTTTCTTTTATAAATACACGCTTGTTCCTTGGATGCCAGTCTGACTGATAACCTCCTGAGCATTCTCTATTGCTCCCAGACTGAAGTCAGAATTGCTCCTTGGAGGTAAGAGCCAACATTGTTCTTCTAGAAACATCCCTGTGGTGCTTATAGAAAGAGATAGATAGAGAAAGGAAGAAACAAGTCTGCTTACCCTAATATTTGATTGTTATCATTAAATCCTGAAGCCACAGAACCTTCTGTAAAACCCAGTGGGTAAGTGTCCCACACTGCAGGATATGTTGGAGAGAATGGTAACTAGTATTTGGTGACTATGCTGGGAATGAACAAATGGAGCCAAAGTCATCACTGCCTTGGACCCAAGAGGGATTTCTGATTTGATATTAGCATAAAGTAACTTTATGAGTGTGTATGAGAAGGCAGAGGGAAATGTATTTTTTCTGCATCTACTTCATGTGCAAGATGCTGTTGTATCATGGCTATAATTCCTTCTCATATAACCCCACCCAGGAAGTGGGTATTATCCTTGTTTAAATATGGACAAACTGTGGCCTAAAAAAATTGAACAATTTCACATGGCCACATAGTTTAAACTGAAATCTGGGCTGACTACAAAGTTCATGATCCTTCTAGAACATAGTGAGGTTGAGGGGTAAAATTGTAAGGACTGGTAAGTGGTTAGATGGCTGACAGGAGGTGTTGTTTGATTGGATTGATTTTGGACTGTGCTCTGGACATGGTCTTTTGCTGTTTTTGTAGCATCCTGGTGCTCTGACTGTAATGCAGGGTGGAGGTGAGATAGGAAAGGGCAGGGGAGTGGAGAGAAGGAGGTGCCAACACACTGAATCTCTGTATATGAACAACTCCTTAGCATTCGAGGCTGATCATGGTAATTATACAACTAATAATTTTAACGAAGCTTTTCTTTTTCTTTTCTTTTTTTTGCCTTGAATGAGACATAAGATGTCTCTTCACAACTGAAGCATGCCCAAACTGGGCTTATTCCTGGTCCAGTACACAAGATAGACACATAAGGAGTACAGCTGTAGGAGCGCAGTAATGCCTTTTGGGAACTCTTGCTCACTTTTTCAGTTTTCATAAGAAAGGCACTATGAACAATTTTGGGAAATTGAAGTACTCGTAAAACATACTACCCTGACCTTGGAATGAATCCTTCTGCAAAGGGGAGAGGGGAATAGGATGGAGAAAGGGCTCTAATGGTATCTATTTCATTTTTTTCTTTTTAAAGTATGGCAGTAGCTGTCAATCATTATTAAATCCATGTAATGCATGCATAAATATCTGCTAAATTTTCTATATTTTCCTATTGACATATTTTATAATTCAAAATTAAACAATAAAAGGAGGCAGACAGGATTTTACCTACTATCTTTTCTCTTTCACCAATGGCATAGTGTAAGGAAAACCCCTTATAAGAACTTTCAAGTTTCACATTGGATTAGAATCACACCCCACCTAAATTGAGTTGCATTGAAATGTGTTTCAATCAAAAGCCATACATGGAGTATCCTATGAAGTCCATGTTGGGGTGTTACTGCCCAGTTATCCTTCATGCCTAAGATTAACAACTATTACTACAACAACAAAGATGCATGTGTTTTTCTTTTGGATACACAGCCAAAAGGAAAAAAGAAAATTAGATGAGATCCCAAACACAGAACATTATAGAGTCTTCCATCAAAATCATGAAATTTTGTTGGAAGCTTTTCCTAGCACTCTGCAGGATTTTTTTTTTTTCATCTTGAAAAGTATCATTCTTGGAAAGGCAATTAGATTCATGTCACAGCGGACAATTCTACCATCCTTCCTATAATTGAAAGCATATTTGTATCCATATCTCAACTGATTACCACAATGGCTCTGAGAAGAAACAGAAAGAAGTAGAGTGATTCACTTAACTACAGAGCTGGTCAGTGACAGATCCACCACCTTGTTACAGGTCCCACGTGTTCCACCTGGAGACTTGCTCCCACCACATCCCTCCACACCTGCCTCAGACCCCCACCTGCCTCCTCGTACGTGACTTCTCACGTACCTGTTCATGGGACCACGTCCTTTCAGAACCATCCTTGACACAAATGTCCAGCCTCAGCTCGGTTCCTGTGGCTCCGTGCTTACTGTCCACGCAGAGATTCGCTGCCACGTTCCGAATCTGTGGAAAGAGGAAAGAATGTTGAACAGGACACTTAAAAAAATATTATTGTATTGCTACCTCCTGACATTCCTATAGATTAGGTAATAACATTGTCTTTTCGATTATGTGGTTAGAATGATGCCTTGAGTTTGAACACAATCTTTGGAGAAAATGAAGGAAGTTAAACATGCTACTTTATATGTGGGAGAATATGAGCCTGTCAAACAGCAGACTTCAGCTCTCCTCAGAAAAGAAACATGTTGATAATACAATACAGGGAGCTCTCCATCTCTAGAAGTGGGAGATTTTTCTTTTTCAGATAGTGGTTAACTTGGAATTTGTTATCTTGCTGCTTCAAGAACTTTCTATCATTACCATCCTGGTGGGAAGTGAGATCGAATCCCAGGCAGGTGATGCAGATGCAGTGTGTGGTACAGGGCAAACTTTATGGCCCTGGGCAGGAGGACATGATGACCTTTTGTTCCAGGTTGGCTGTGACAGGTCTTGATCTATACCTGTTGTCATCATTTAACCTTTCCCCTGCATGATGAATTAAATGTCTCCCTAGAGGATGAGCAAAATGGGAAAGACTATCTATCCATGAAATACTCTATTGGATGAAGATCCTTTACATGAAGTCTGAACTTTGAAAAGTTAAAAAAAAAAAAAAAAGAGAAGAATTCTTTCCAAATGTTGAATAGTACTGAATAGTTCCAGGTCAAAAGTGTAAACAGTGAAAGGTAGCAACAGAATCTGGGCAGAGACAGGTCCTTTGTCAAATCTTCCCGCCTTAAGATTGCACCAGTCCTGCTGCCAGTGTCACACTGCAGCCTTGGGTACAGTTGGATCGTGTTTTTAGTTGGGTACTTAGTATACAAGCTAGTTATGTTCCATTATCTCAGTTTTTTTTTTTAGGCCTTTATATAGTCCTGGATTATGATAAGCTCTTTAGGTATGTTTAACAATGGAAATAAAAATAGGATGAACCCAACTGACAATTTGCATCAAGTTCTTTTGCTTGGAATGAGTAGATAAGCTAGGGAGTCTCTCACAACAGAAGAATGTCCCCCACTGGGCCCATTCTTATTTGTGTGGGGAAATGAAGCAGAGAAAGTTATTTGAAAATACTGGGTATCATGAAAGGAATAAATGATGAGGGACAGGGATGATGTGCTGGTGGGAGATGGTTCATATTTCACTTACTCTAGGAATAGAAATTGGTATAATGTATTTTGGGAGGAGATCCATGTGGTGCATATGAGTTTCCTTATTCAGGGAACTTGACAACAGTTTGGGCTCATCTTCCATTACTAGTTTCAGTGATGCTTTGATGTAAGGGTAATGTGAAATAAAGCAGAATACAGAACTACAGTTCCTAACCTGGTTTGGCCTACAGACCTCTCTGAATTCAAGGAAAGCTATGACACTTTGCAAAACCAAACGACAAACTAACAAAACTGAAAGTAGATACATACAAGGACTTTGGTTTCCATTTTCCCGGAACCTATCAACTCCAGATTTGAAGCCTGAATTAGGGAAAATGGCTGCTTCCTAAGCCTTATAAATGAATTTCTTCCTTCTTCTCAGAAACATGGGAGATCAAAAACAGGGGATGAACTTGGCTGGTCCTCAGAATGTACCTGTTTTACTCACTCCTTTAACCATTTCTCCATTCCCCTAAAACAAGGACCAGGAAGAAACTTTCCTTTGGGATCTTGGGAGCCAATAGTATAGTTATGCTGTTTCTGGGGCTGGGATGTAACGTGCTTGCTTGGCATGCATAAGACCCTGGGTTTGGTCCCCAGCACAGGAAAAAAAAAGGGGTTTTGTATTTGTACAATCAATTTCTTCATGTGTGATGGTGTTTCTCTGGTAAAATATAAACAATTGGAAGTCCAAATTAAATTTTGTTATAGCTGTCCTGAGCCTTACACACTCTTAGAAAGCTCCTATTTTAACTCTTTATTGGAGCCCAGTGTGTTTTTTTTTTCAAGCTGTCTGTGACATGAACAACACCTACTAGAACTCTGGGCAGGTACCTCTCTATTGATTATTAGTTAATTTACTTTGGTCAAACCAAGGGGCACTTTGCCACTGAGCTACATACTCAGTTCTTTTTATCAGGGTCTCTCTAAGCTACTGAGGCTGGTAATCCTCCTGCCTCAGCCTCCAGAGTCACTGGAATTATAAGTGTGTGCCTAGCATCTCTGTTCATTCCTGAGCCATTTAACTCATGGATACACTTTCCTTAGAGAACCAGTATCAATTTTTATACTGAAGACATCTTTGGGGTACTATTATTGAGTCTAGAACCACATTTGGAGTAGGGGGAGGGCAGCTGCTTGTAGGTGCATGGCTACTTGGCCACAGAGGGACAGGTTTGAATTTCTTTGTGAGCCAGCATTTGAACTCACCCACTGGAGGGACTCTGCTCTTGGAAAAGGAGAAAGACAAGGACACGCACAAGTCAAGGACATCATGTTGGCGAACGTGCCAAATCTGCAGGTGGAGGCACTCCAAGCCTATGGGAGGCCCTCTTCTTGTTTTCAGATGTTATGAGCTTGAAAGGAGAGGGGCCGGGATGGAGGATACCATTTTCTAAACTACTGAATTTTCTAAATTCTCACTTAAATGGCATCTGTGTAGACAAAGGGATAAACTGCTTTGGAAGCCAAATTTCAAGTTTCAAAGGCATAATTGTCTACATCTGTGTAAATTCCAGCAGAAAGTTGTGCCAGAGAGGAAATGCTGAGAGTTCACTACAGGATAAGGTAGGCAGCTGGAGATAAGACTAATATCCGGCCATTCTCGCTGGCTTCCCCCCCCCCCCCCTTATCTTCTTATTGCCACCTCTTCTGCACACATTTGTAGCTTTTCCTTTGCTCCAAGCATGACTCCATCAAAATGAACAGGTAAATACCATTCCAAGAGAACGATCCTCCAACTTATTTATTCATTGGAAAATTTTTTTTTAATAAAACGTAGACAAGACTATTGGCAAATGATTTCAATTTTTTCCATGGGCTCTGCATCTGTGGCTGAAGGCACAGCAACTTACACATATATACACGCTCCAAATCTAGACGTGGATTACTAAATGAGTCTATGACAGAAGAGATCATTGTCAGGCTTCACTTCTTTCATGTTCAACTTCAGGGCTTAGCATCATTAACACGTGTACAGGAGTCCTGAGAGAGGCCCAACAGCTTAGAAAGTGAGGTGGTATCTGACTAGGAGTGTGCGAGAAGAAGGAGAAAAACGAAGGAAGAGAGAATCATGGTGCATGACAGAATTATAGACATCAGTTATAGAGATGAATTCTTTTTGGAATTGGGAAGAGGTCTGGCACAGAGCAAATGTTTTCTTTAGGTCTGCAAGAGGACTCAGGCTCAGCTCTAATATGGTTTTATTTATTCCTGACACAGGAGGCTTTGATAAAAGAGATACAAGAGAAGCAGAGTGTGGCACAAATAGCAAGGTGGTTAGTAGGTGTGGGACAGGTCATGCAGTTGGCTTGAGAGAGAGGTCTTGGCTCAACAAATGAGAACTTGTGTCTTGCCCACGACCCGCGTGGGTGGTGGAAATGGGGTTCCCCTCGGTGGAATGGGATGGCTGAGAAATAAAAGCTAAGAAAAATAGAATGGAGAAAAAACCCACAGAACACAGAAAGTACTTTCAAAAGTGGGGGACAGGATGGGCAAGCAGATCAGACGGATCGAGCTTTCTAGACTATGGCAAAATGGAAACCGCGCCTGCTTTATTTATATCGGGAGACATCAAAGGCCTTCCACAGAATGTTCTTCATCAAAAGAGGTTAAAGGTGGGCTGTCCAGTTCCTAATGGGTTATGCCCATCTCCAGAGCTACTATGAGCAATCTTCCTAGCAGAGTGGAGATAAAGATCACATGCATTGGGCAATCTATTGCCAAGGGAGAGCCACAGATAGTTCCCAAGGCCAGACCTAAATCTCCCTGGTTTCCATGCCGAGAGAAGATCCTCATGTAATTCGTGGATGGCTTCCTGCACTCATGGTTTGCTAATTCCTCCCCATGGCCTTGGGTCTTTTAAGTAAAACAGTGGTTCATTACTCATTCCACAAATATTTATTAAGTGCCTGCTATGTCCAGGCACTGGGCTAGATACTAGGTATGCAGGGAAAGATCAGAAAAGAATCATCTCCTTTGAACATCTTATGCTCTGATCAGGATGTTAGAGAGAACTGGGGCGGAAGAGAAGTTTGAGACTGGCAATATTTCTGGTTGTAAATTTTTTAATAGGGCAAAAGGGATTAAGATGCTTCCCTTAATGGAGTTTGGGTGATTTCAGAAGGCAAATTTATAAACAGGGCTAGAAGGACAGAAGTCACTAGTAGAGGGAGAGAGAACAGAATGCAGACCCATCAGGTCTGGATTCTGCTCATGAGGTACAAATGAGTTTCCTATAACCTTAGGTTTGAGCTCCTTGTTAAAGCTCAGTCCTTCTATTTGTAAAAATGTTAACGTTCAAGGTTTTTTCTGAAGGAAAGTCTCTTTGGGAAGCATGAATGGAAATTCAAAGACCAAGAAAAACTGGCTACTGCTCTCCAGGAACCTACAACGTTCTTAGGGGAGACGGGGCCTCGAAGGCATCTTCTTAAGTGACAAAATGCTAAGTGCAGTCTGAAGGGGAAATGATCAATTCTAAGCAAGACAACCTGAAGCACTTAGAACTGTTGATATTGGAAGGGGCCCTGGGGAATGAGAGGACTGAAACTAGAGAGTGAGGTGTGACACTGTAGCCACAGGGATCAGAAATAAACATAAACATCGATGTCTGACAGTGTAAGGAGCTTGTGTGTGTGCATGCTAAGCACATTCTCTACCATTGAGGTGCACACCCAGCTTTTTTTTTTTAATGATGAAAAAACTGTGTATTTAGAATTAGCCAGACTCAGTTTATACCATCTTGATTTTGTTGCCAACATCCGAAGTATCATAATCAGGAGTCAAATGAACATCTGACTTTTTCTTTCCTTCCGG